TAAACTCCCATGTATAAAAAATTCAGCTTTACAGCCTTAATAAGCACGAGTCCAGCTTGGCACAAAAATGGTTTGGGCCTCTAAAGATAGATTTTTGGTATTGTTGCATTTTTTGTTTTGCTTTTATTAACTCAAGGTCACTGCATGACCTTCACCCCTCAACTGAGTGTAAAACAGCTGGGATGAGTGTCAGCACCTCTAAGTGTGAGTTATGGTTCATTCTCTAATTATCAGGAAGTGGAGGATGAGATGGATTCGTTAAACATCAGCAGTGATGTGGGTGTTGTACTGGGCTGTTGTGGTGAAGAGAGAAGTTTTTTTATTTAAGAGTCTATGTTCCAACCCTCATCCTTGGTCATGTATCAAGGTAATGACCAGAAGATTAAGGTAGGGAATACAAGTGGACACGTTTCCTCTGCAGGGTATCTTTGTTCAGCTTTAAAGATGTGGTTGAGGTCATTTGGATATCCGGTTAGGGGATCGCCTGGGAACTTCTTTCAGGCACACTCAACTGAGAGGTGACACCAGGCTAGACCCAGAATCCAATGGACAGATCTCACCTGACCTGGGAAGGTCTCAGGATTCCCCAGTCCAAACTGAAAGTGATGCTGTGGAGAAGGACAACTTGAATACCTTTGCTTGCTGCCACCATTACAAAACTTTAAATAAGTGGACATGGATGGATGGGTGGATGGATAAATACAGTGGGGCAAAAAAGTATTTAGTCAGCCACCGATTGTGCAAGTTCCCCCACCTAAAATGATGACAGAGGTCAGTAATTTGCACCAGAGGTACACTTCAACTGTGAGAGACAGAATGTGAAAAAAAAATCCATGAATCCACATGGTAGGATTTGTAAAGAATTTATTCGTAAATCAGGGTGGAAAATAAGTATTTGGTCAATAACAAAAATACAACTCAATACTTTGTAACATAACCTTTGTTGGCAATAACAGAGGTCAAACGTTTACTATAGGTCTTTACCAGGTTTGCACACACAGTAGCTGGTATTTTGGCCCATTCCTCCATGCAGATCTTCTCGAGAGCAGTGATGTTTTGGGGCTGTCGCCGAGCAACACGGACTTTCAACTCCCGCCACAGATTTTCTATGGGGTTGAGGTCTGGAGACTGGCTAGGCCACTCCAGGACTTTCAAATGCTTCTTACGGAGCCACTCCTTTGTTGCCCGGGCGGTGTGTTTTGGATCATTGTCATGTTGGAAGACCCAGCCTCGTTTCATCTTCAAAGTTCTCACTGATGGAAGGAGGTTTTGGCTCAAAATCTCACGATACATGGCCCCATTCATTCTGTCCTTAACACGGATCAGTCGTCCTGTCCCCTTGGCAGAAAAACAGCCCCATAGCAGGATGTTTCCACCCCCATGCTTCACAGTAGGTATGGTGTTCTTGGGATGCAACTCAGTATTCTTCTTCCTCCAAACACGACGAGTTGAGTTTATACCAAAAAGTTCTACTTTGGTTTCATCTGACCACATGACATTCTCCCAATCCTCTGCTGTATCATCCATGTGCTCTCTGGCAAACTTCAGACGGGCCTGGACATGCACTGGCTTCAGCAGCGGAACACGTCTGGCACTGCGGGATTTGATTCCCTGCCGTTGTAGTGTGTTACTGATGGTGACCTTTGTTACTTTGGTCCCAGCTCTCTGCAGGTCATTCACCAGGTCCCCCCGTGTGGTTCTGGGATCTTTACTCACCGTTCTCATGATCATTTTGACCCCACGGGATGAGATCTTGCGTGGAGCCCCAGATCGAGGGAGATTATCAGTGGTCTTGTATGTCTTCCATTTTCTGATGATTGCTCCCACAGTTGATTTTTTCACACCAAGCTGCTTGCCTATTGTAGATTCACTCTTCCCAGTCTGGTGCAGGTCTACAATACTTTTCCTGGTGTCCTTCGAAAGCTCTTTGGTCTTGGCCATGGCGGCGTTTGGAGTCTGACTGTTTGAGGCTGTGGACAGGTGTCTTTTATACAGATGATGAGTTCAAACAGGTGCCATTCATACAGGTAACGAGTGGGGGACAGAAAAGCTTCTTACAGAAGACGTTACAGGTCTGTGAGAGCCAGAGATTTTCCTTGTTTGAGGTGACCAAATACTTATTTTCCACCCTGATTTACCAATAAATTCTTTACAAATCCTACCATGTGGATTCATGAATTTTATTTTTCACATTCTGTCTCTCACAGTTGACGTGTACCTCTGGTGCAAATTACTGACCTCTGTCATCATTTTAAGTGGGGGAACTTGCACAATCGCTGGCTGACTAAATACTTTTTTGCCCCACTGTAACTCCATCTCAATACAGGAGTTTAGGGGCCTAGCTGCTTTTCATACCTTCACCCTCCAAATAAATATCTGTCTCCAAAGAAAGGCATGGTAGAGTGGAAAAACCACAACGCTGTCAAACCTGTCACAATGGTTCTCAAAAGACTCCAAGGCAGAACTGCCAGGAATGCCACATTGGTGGAAAAGCAGTAACAGATACCGCGGTAGAAACATTTTTTCATTGGTGTGTACCATCATATTGCCCATCCCTGCACGCTAACATCTCAAGTTATCCAACAACATTTAAATACTGACCGGTTTTTGTCTGCACTGAGGTTTGTCTGAACAAATGTGATTTTTGTGTTTGTAAATCAGCACATTATAGATCCAGTATTTCTCTGTTTCTGACCATTTACCCATCATGTTATGTTTGGAACAACTTGTTTGGAGCAGATTTGTACAATAATTCTAGGATTAGAAGTTGAACTGTTGGACTTTTTTCAGACTAACAGGAAAAGACTGTTCAAAATCATTATCACACAAAACGAATCCCTTTGAGCCTCATTGTTGTTAAGTGAGACTCTAATTTATAATAAGCCTAACTGGTCTGATCAGCTTGTTGAAAGGCCACAGAGGGCTGATGTCATGATGATAAGAAAATGCTGTCATGCTTTGCTCTGTTTGTAAAACTGTGAGAAAGACTGATGGGTTGGTGTGTTTGCTGGATGGAAAAGTTTGATTCCACCTTTGAAAGATGCTCGGTGATCAACATGTAGTGTCTTAAATGTTTGTTTGCCTTCCAAGGCTTTAATATTCTGTAACAGTTTAGCATAGAAACATCTAGATGGCTGTCCGTAATATTTTTGTATCTCAACAAAAATACTTTTTAGAGTATTGCTGTACTGTATCTGTGAGGGAGGGAAGGTTTAAAAAATCTCTTATGTTTATTGTTGCCAAAGAGATGCTGTGTATGTTTTCACCCCATTGTGAGGACAGACAGGAAGCTCACTGGCCTTGAACCAAAGGCGCAAACGTGCGGGAGAAGCTTTGGTTGAGATACTGTCATAATGTGTGCCCCAACAATGACCTGGTCACATCATTACTTTCTGTACCTTCTATCAATTACAAATAAAATCTGGTTTACACATGTTAAATATATTGGCCATTTTTTTACGTGTTTTTAAATCAATTAATTTATTTACACATGTAGACTCTAAAATCTTACAGAGTTGTTAAAGAGTTCAGATGTAAAATTTAAAGAGTCCTTAGATTCATTTTGGACAACCAACAAATACTGAAGAACTCTGATATTAAATATAAGTTTTTAAAACTTCATTTTTAAATCCATGTATAAAACAAAACAGTCTCTCATCTTCGTTGTCTGTGTTAAAAGGTGCAATGGGAACCATTTTTGCACTCAAAACCTATTAAGCCACCAAATTCCAGTCACATGGTGTGTAAAGTCTTCTATAGTATAAACGTACCGCATATTATATCAACTTAACAGGAATGTAAAAATACAGAAGATTGATATGTTTTCAGGTTGCTTGTGAACTTCCTCGGGCACAGGAAACATTGTATTTTACCCAAACAAACTTTTCAGATAATCGATGTTATTTTTTCAAAACATTTTAGCATTATAGTTCTCTTACAGGACTTCAATTTGGGCAATTTTTTACAGTAAGTAAAAATTCAATATAAGCTGGGTTAGAAGAAAGGCAGAGGATCAGGTAGAAGGGTCACGAAGGCAAGCCAATATATGAAGAAACTTCTTGGTGAGTGTCAAATCCAACACCCATTTCCATTTGTCCTTAAACTCACAGGAAGACGATCTGAAACTAAACTCTGTGTTTTTCCATAAAGAATTTTATATTTCAAACAAGTGGATTCCTTTAGGACACAGGTGTCAAAATCCAGGCCTCGAGGGCCGGTGTCCTGCAGGTTTTAGATGTGTCCTTGATCCAAAACAGCTGATTTAAATGGCTAAATTACATCCTCAACATGTCTTGAAGTTCTCCAGAAACCTGGTAATGAACTAATCATGTGATTCAGGTGTGTTGACCCAGGGTGAGATCTAAAGCCTGCAGGACACCAGCCCTCAAGGCCTGGAGTTCGACACTCCTGCTTTAGGACATCAAATAAAAAGTAGTAAAGTTTTAATCTCTCAACCTCTATCGTTTAAGTTTTAAAGGTTTTACTCTACCAGCACTATTGTTCTTCAAACTGTGTTTTCTTCTAAGTGAATCATAATGGCATCAGATGACTCTGTGTAACCAAAAGGTTACAACCCATCTGAGATAATGTGCCAGGAATAAAAATGGGATTTATCAGGTGTAGCATGTCGCCTGCATGCAGGATGACTCAGGATATCCCAGCAGAATATCCAGAGAAACGATGCTGTTGTTGTCAGGTGGAAGGGTGAAGTCGATGCATGGTACATTCTCATCATCTTTACACTCTGTGTCATGCAACTCACTGAGGACAGCATGTTAAAGGGAGCCTGTTATGCTCAGTTCCAGCTCCATGTTTTTATTGCTGAAGAGTACCAGTCGAGCTTTGTGTGTTTACAGCTATCCTTATTTATCTTATTCTGTGCTAAAACTTTGACCACCTTTAAAATTAATGAGGAAAAGTGTAACAGATCAATTTTAAAGTTTCTCAGGGTTAAATTTTTGAGCATTATAACAGATAAAAAAAAACACTGCACAATATTGTTAAATACTTGATTCTTTATTGTCAGAATTAAACTAAAAAACAAACAATTTGTTTACCATCAACTCACATCATTATAGTGTAGACTGCCAGTACAGTACTCCTTATGTTACATTAACGTAGGTTTTATTGGTTTCCATATTTCTGAGTCACATAGTTTTCAGCTAATTTCTTATATCTCCCCCTGAAACATAACTGTAAAATGAGCTGTGGGATCATCTAATAATAAATAATGCAGATATTTCCAAAACATCCCGTGTAATTTTGTATTAACTATAGGGAAACTGAAGACAGCACTATAAGTGTATGAAGACTTGATAATTTTAACTATCAAATATATTATAAGAACAATAAAGCATATAGTTTAAGTGAAGTGAAGTTTTTCATGAATTGATCTCAATAATTAAGAACAGTTTCCTTAGAAAGACAATTAAAAATGATTATCATAGCAGGTCAGAGCACAAAACAGAGTGAATAACTGAATCACCCAATGCAGGTGAATCATTATGGATATATATGTACCTCTGTACTACACAAGTACTCTGATATAATGAGAAGGTACTAGCATGATCTCTGCAGAATCCAGAATTTGATTTTTCCTCATAATTAATATAAAACAATGGAGTTTTTTGGAAATATCCTCAGACATATACAGCTGAATACCAGCTGACTTTGGGGAAAATATGTGTGAAAAATTCTAGAAACTTTAAAAATAGCCTTAAAGAAAATCTCTTTTTCCTTTCTAACCGTCTAAATCCAGGTGAGGAAGTCGAGTTTTATTGCCATCTAGTGGTGGATACATGTTTTGCATGCACATACAATAAGGTGCATGATAGTTTCTATGTGTTATTACACATGGATTACATCCATGTGTAATAACAAGCTCCGTCGTTCACTACATTGGAGGTACGGGTGCTTTAATAAGGGCGGAAAGTACTGAGGCTAATTCTGCTCTGCTAATATGAAAAGTATAAAAACAAATAAATCAGACTTGCAATTGTTGCTTAAATCGGGTTTAAAACCAGTTACATTCAAATTTGTTTCTTGTCAAATCTCAAAGTCTTAATTTTTATTATTGTGAATAGGAATTCACCTCATAGTCCTGTTAACTAAAATTTACTGATGAAATTCATCAACAACTTAAAAGAAATCTGGTTCTCTGAAGGCTAAGAAAAAAAAAGTATTTTTATGTCAGTTCATCACTTATTAATAGGAATTAAAATTTCAGGTCTCTTGTGTTATTGGTTTTCTTTAAAAGATATTTCAGTGAATGACCCTCATCCACTGAAATATTTTTAAAGAGGTAATTTTTTATATTTATGGAGATATTTTAAAATTCCATTAAGATATATTAAAATACTCAGATAAATATGAAACTTTCAAAATGTCCTATTTTGAAAATGAGCCTTTCACAAATTTTGGATATAATTTTGAGAAACACATGCTTGAAAGATGCGAGGACAAAAATTTTAAAAACAACTTTCACATCCTGGAATAATTTTCTGAATAATAATTTTCAAAAAAGTTGAGACCTGAAATTTTGCATAATTCCTGATGTGGGTCCTTCCCCCTAGATATATATCCAGCAGTTAAGTAGTTCAAACCTGTTTTCCAGTTTGCTATTCCAACATGAAGGTAAACCAAACCTAACCTGAGCAGGTACCCACACTGGACCCTAGAATATCATTATTATCAGTAAGAACCATGACACTTACTGCAATCAAATAATTGTTCATGCTAATGAAAAATAATCAATAACTCAATAAGTGGGAAAAGCAGAGGGATGGTGTGATTTTTCTAAATGTAGTTTTCAGTACTTTATCAAGTTATTATTACACCCCCACTTAAATCTAAGATTTAAATGTATTTTAAATTCTTAAACAAGTAAACCACAGACACGGAAACGAGCACATCTTAATGACCTCAGTGCAACCAACACAACCTACGTTAGCGTGACCCTGTTTGCCTGTCAACGATTACCTTAAACTAGATAAACAACATGCAATTACAAAGTTTCTCCTGTTGATTGTGTTACTGAATTAAATCTCAGCTGAACATGTTGCTTTAAGAAGATCTTATAAAGTGCTTGTTCACTACGAACAATAACAATCAAACATGAATCTGAGAACCAGTGAAATTCATTATTAAGTGTAGGTACAAACGCCTGCACGGCTGCTTATCTCTAGTACTGCAGAAAGATAAAAGATTTCCTGTGAGTACAGAATTAGTTGAAGGTACAGTACTACGAGTAGTGTGCTTATCAGTTGTGATGCTATCAGCACAAACGTATTCTACAGATATCTTTTTCCATATAATCTACCTTTCTGATGTGTTTCAGTACTTTTTTTTCTGCCGTCGTGCTTTAAGATCATCGGTCTCTGAATAAGACGTTTCTTATGGTGCAAACACTGGACTGTTTGACAAGCATGAGGTGCTCTTGCCAGGTGAAAAGGCAGTATTGAGAGGTGAGGCTCAAAGGTGAGTCCCCCAGCATGGTGTAAAGCTTAGCAATTTTAAAGCCCTTTCATTGACAAGGCAAGAGGGGAGGAGCTGCATTTTAAATGACCGGCTAATGATCCTGTGAGTCTACATGGAGCTAGGCTTTAGTCTTTGGGTAACGATACGATACAAGAGGCAACAATTCTGACTTTAAAATGAACCACATGAGCCACACGAGTAAACATCTGCTCTCATTCTTCTTTTTATACACCACATGCTCCTTGTAGGCTTTAAAACCTTTACAAAAGTGAATCAGCTCCACTGCTGCTCATCTAAAATGCCACTTTACCAAAGTCACCAATCAACAGGAAAACCTCATCTTTCATTTTTGTAACTTTTGAATGTGGCTTCCTTGCTACGTGGTTAAATATAAAGTCAATCCTAGTATTTATTTACATTTTCTCCGGGCGATTACAGAGATTACTGTTGCCGTGACATGTTGTAGTGCACTTTATCTGCTGATTATATTTCATTCTTTTCATTTTGTAGCATTATTGTAATACCGAGGGTAAATCAGAGCCTTCCAGTTTAGGGTTGAGGGTGAAATTGTGCACCAGTGATCCACCTACAGCTGGTTTACATTGAAAGAAAGCTCAGAAGTCCCCTGGAGGACTGGAAGTCTTCTCCAAGGAATCATAGTGAGCTTCATCAAGGTGGTCCTCCTCGATTTCATCCTCATCGTCGGAGAGGGGCGGTTTGGCCGGGGCCTCCACATCCGGCTCGCCTGGTGGATCATCGCTAGGAAGAAAAAGAGCAAAAGGGATTGTGGTTTTTATTTGTTAAAATGTAAAATGGTAACGGAAGACGAGGTCAACAAGAGCACAGGATGGAACAATGGGTTGAGTTTTTTTTTCAGCCATATTGCTGCTGAAAATAAAAAGGTCTGAGTCATGCAAATAGAGAGAAAGCTGAGGCGAAAAGCATGATGCCGAAACAAACAACACGTTTTTCAGGCAAAGTGTAACAGCCCACAATCAGCTGATGAGGTCAGCAGTCACATCACATTAAAAACAAACAAACAGCGATGGAAATAACCCAAAAGCCACTCCACAGCTCGCAAAGAAAACACAAAAAAATGAAGCAGCTTTCAGTTATAATGAAAAATTCAAAAGCAAGTGGATACACGAAGACACTTTAGACCCAAGATTATTCACTTACGATGGGCTTTGGTCACTCAAAAGCGGGCGTAATCAGGCCCTGTACTGAAAGGCAGAAACAATCCCCATGTGTCAACAGTCAGGATCAAATACCAACTCACATCTTCCAACGTGAGACAGGGAAATAAATTACTACACACTTCCTCCTAACATGGCTGCACATTATAAGGCATATATATTTGGTTTCCTGTTAACACAAGGTATCATTAAAGGTATTAAAAGGGAAAACAGACCAAGACTGAGCTGACTGGAGCCTGTATTTAGAAGGTACTGTTGCTCCTTTTGTTTGATTTTTTCCACATTATTATCTGTAACACAGTGCCAGATATATTCAGTGATAACACTGTGAGACTTTTACATGACTGCTCTGAACAGTTTTCCATCATGATCTCACTGCTGTACCTTCACTGAGCCAAAGGTTAAGAAGGATATATTCACCAACATCAGCACCACATTAAACACAGCGTCTGCAGAGGCTGCCAGTCAAACTCAGCAAAGATCTTGTTTAATATTACTAAATTAGCCAAAATTATTGTCATCATTTACTTAGATTAAATTGAAACATGACAAAAAACAGATCAGAACTCCACAAATTCACCGAGACTGTTTACATTTAAATTATGACCAATACATATTCACATGTGTCACACGGGGGAAAATAAAGATTAAATTAAAAAACAGGCAAACAGGCATGTGAACCCACCACACAGTGAAGCAAAACAACTACAAAAATAAAAAAACACTTAAAATGAACACGTTGTGTTGATCGCAATACACAAACAGACACACTCACTCACACACACACAGTTGAGTTGAAAAAAGTACCTTTGCTAGCAGCAGGAGGAGCAGGCCAGTGGGTGTGTATAGCAGGTCAGGATGCAGTGTAAGTACTACTGTGCACAGAACACACACACACTGTACATGCAACAAGCCCGGTGGGAGGTTATGATGGGTCTCGGTTCCAGAAATGTAGATAAGAGTGGTGATGTCAAATGTGCAAGAAGAGCCGCTTGTTAATGTATTAAAGCAAGAAGGCGATCCCCAGTTTGTTAGCTGTGAGAAAAGATGTGGTGACTAAAGTTTAGTCAGCACAAACTTAAAGCCAGAATCGAGAGTTGAAATGCTGCCTGTCAATGAAAGTTCGTTGGTTTTACGAGCTAGTTTGGCACTTGAAGGCTAATTAAAAGCTTCTTCAAATGGTGTTTCGTAAAAGTTTCATCATGTCACACCAAAGCCTTCAGGGAAAAAACGAACAGAAACAATAAAAATATCCAGCTGAATAAATTTATTTAATACTTTGTAAGAGTAGAAATTCACCATACATTTGAGGTCATCAGTGTTACACTTTTTGGTGCCCCCAAAGCATGCACATACATAAATTCTCTATACAATATTTAGATGTTTTCCTTGTAACTCTTTTACAACAAAACCCCTCACAATCAGAGCACGTCAGTGAATGCTGGCGTTATTAGCCACAGGTGATTGGTGTGCTATCTCTGCAGCGATGTCAGCCATACCTTGGACTATTTTAGTGGAGAAAGAAGAAACACTGGCAGCTTCCAGTCGTTTGCACTCGACTTTTGTCTCTAAATTCATCAAAACAGAGATGAAAAAAGACGGGGGGGTTGGCAAAGCTAAGGGGGGAAGACGAGTGTTAGGTGACAGACAAACGGAGAGGAGAAGAAGAGAGCACAGAGACAACAGACATGTGCAGCAAGGAGAACATTTCTACAGTGCAAAAAAGGTCTGTGTTAGGTCTCAGGCAGAGTCTGGAAATATTTTTCTGTCTATAAGTGGCAGATCAGAAAAGCAGCACTTGAAAGTTGGTTTTTTTTTAATGCATGTGCCTTACTTTATCACATACTTGCAAAAAAATATATTGCAAGACTCTTCAAACAATTTCCCTCATTAACAATTTAGTAAAAGCATTTTTTGCAGTGTAGGAGGAATGGGAGAGATGCACAGTTTCATTTTTAACCTCCTCTCTTTGGTGAAGAAAGCACTCAGTCAGAAGCCGAAACTACGTCCCAGCGGGCTAGCTCGTGGACACCAGATGTCAACAAAGGGACAGCGGTTAGCACAGACAGGCACTAACTGGGCCGACATACAGACAAGCACACCGGTATTTTTATTGAGCACACAAAGGATCAGACAAACAGTTCTCTTGACATTCTTTACTCACTGAGGTTTGGAGAAAAAAACGAATCAGGCTTTTAATCGCAGAGACAGCAGTACAAGAAGGCTGAATGAGGCTTCAACCACAAATGAATTCCTCTCCCCTTCAAAGCTGCAGGCGGCTGTGCCTTCAGTCTGTACTTTGGCTGAATGCAGCACAGTATAATCACCACTCTGTAGCCAGTGTAGTTTTTTTTCTATTAATCACAATACCGCTGATGGTTCATGTGAAGTCTTAAGTTCCCATAAAACGACATTAATCACAGAAGTTAACCGACAGCAGAAGCACCACATGTGAATATTTTTGAAAGTAGAAACGGATTTTGAATCTTTTAAATGAACTTTATGCCTATTTTTTATTTATGATAAAAAAAACTTTTTTAATGGTTTCACGTGTACCGAGCAGCGCCGCAATACCAGTTGTCTTTTCTTTCATGCATGAACCAGAGTTTGCCTCCAACTCTAATCATTTTTATGAGCAATTAATCGATCCTTTCTTTTTTAACTGGTGATGTCAAAGTGATATCCTTCTAATGAGCTCAAAACCCAAATATATTTAATTTGCAGTCATATAAAAACAGAGAAAAGCAGCAAATGTCTGTATTTGAGAACCCGAAGCCAACAAATATTTGGCATTTAAGCCTGATAAGTTATTTCAAACACTTAATCGGCACAACACATCAGTTAACTGACTAACGAACAAACAGTTTCAGCACTAAACTCGGCTCAGAGCCTCGCGTAAGTTAGTTGACCCCATTCAGCCTTGGCACAATATTCAGGCACCACAACAGACAGTCAAAGGACCCCGAGAGTGGTGTGTTTGTGTGTCCATCCGAGCGCAGAGGCTCACACTGAGAACGTTACAGTAAGTTTGTTTACACACAGTCAGAAATATAGACTATTACTTCCATAAGGTGCATTTTTTTATAAACTGATCATAGATACTGCATGACAAGCACTTCTGTATGGCACATTTATGTACAGTAAACATTCCCGTCACATTTTTTTTCCCCCACGTTTCATGTGTGAAAACATTTACATGAGCTGTTCACTACTCGCGATACATGGCCTCTTATGTCAGAGGAATACAAAACCTCACAGCATGAAAAGGTAGAATTATTGTTAAATACTGAAAGATCCAGTAAAAGCATTGATTGCAATGTCATTTTTACATAATATAAAAATCCTCTTTGGGATCAACCACTTTAGGATTACACCCTGATTTACATATCATTCTTTACACTGTCTTTCTAACTGACATTAGTGAAAATCAGGTTCCTTCGTTGGGAAAATATAACTCCCAGCAATATATAAAAGAAATGTACATGCATGAAAGACAAGCAAAGGTTACATTTTCCTCACAGAAAATGTCCATCACACTGATTTTGAATATGCGGATGGCACAGAGTCCACTTTGTTCTGGTTTTGGCTTGGCTCTGCACCAAAGCTCCACCAGCGGCCCAGTGTGGCTACTGGCCAGTTAGACAGCACAGGGCAGGACTGAAGGACGAAGGGAGGGAGATCAGAGGGAGAAAAAGAAAGACACCCAAGCGTCTTCCTCGAACTGACCGGCTTGCGGTGAGTTTATTGTCGTGAGAAGGAGGTAGGGAGGCGGGAAAGAGGGTGGGTTAAGGATGACAGATGGGCAGCGAGGTGCATGTCCTATCGTGTGGCTGAGTCTGTGCCTGTTTGTCTGTCTGTCCTCACACTGTCGAAATCAATTTGCCCTCTGTGGAACTGTGGACACAGAGAGGGAGAGGCTTCCAGGTGGGCTGGCTCAGGAGAAACAACAGCAAACACAAAACCAGGACACACGCAGACGCAGAAACCTCGTCTACCCTCTGACATGACAAGCATAACCTACAAGTTTAACTGGATCTGAGCCTCATTTTAAAGCAAAATGTGGATGTGGTTTTAACGAGCAGGGATTGAGTGAGTGCAGTTAGCAGACAGAAGGAGCTGCATGGAGCGTGGGGGGCGGTGGCGTGACGGGAAGGTGCCGTGGAGTCAAAGCATGATTTTCTTTCTTAACTTAATGAACAAAAGGAAACTTAAAACGACTTACACTTAAATTAATCAACTATTTCTCTTCCTGAGGTCTAATTAACTGCCACTTTGTCAGGTGCCTCCTGTGACTCCCCATTTCATGCACAATGTCCTCTGGACTCAGGAATACTGGCTTTTTGGAGCCCACAAGCAGGTCTATCAGTTAAGGATCCTAGTTTGGGCCCAGATCGAGACTGCATAACAGTCCCCACTTTTTTACTTTCACTTTGACTCGTCAGGTTTACGCACCAAAAACTGCTGGCTTGGGATTAGCCATTAAAAACTACTTGGTTTAGGTGTCTAAAGTATGATTTGTGTTAAAACAGCAGCACTTCTAAACACCAGAGGACTCACTGGGCATGGACGAGCCACACGGTGGCTTTGACAAAACTGCACTAAGAGATGATTAATGTAATCTAGTTTTACAGAGAGAAACAATTGTTACTAATGGATGACTTAAAGATAAAGCCAGCCTTCTTTAAAACCATTATGCGGTCAGAACTGCACCATCTTATCACCTATGGATTCCTATCACGCTGCTGCAAACAGAGGAGAACTAAGAAAAACAACACAAAGAGTGTGGTGTGTCCTGCTGGTTGTCTGTTTGTGGGTCTGAACTTGGCATGCACCAGGATCTGTCCCAATCCCTCATCTCTCCATCTTCAGCTGTTTGGTAAACTAACTCTCACTGATGCCTCAGATTCCAGCCCTCGAGCCAACGGGACAGAATTCCACTTTGGCTTCCCACCCACAAACACTGCCGAGTGCATTTGAAATGACTGAACTGGAACTGAGTTGAAGCTGATTCCTGGCACACACAAAAAACACACTGACTGAATCAAGCTGAGTGGTTCTTACCTTGTGGGGAAGCGGGGCTCATACTCTTCGACTCCCTGCTGCAAAGACATAATCAAAGAAGAAAGAAACGTTTAGTTTGTGCACTTTAAATATGAACTCTGAAATAAAGCATGAAAACCACATTAACTGTCACTCATACCAGTATGATGAGATAATATAAGCTAATAAGATAATAAGGTAAAGACAGTGCTTAACAATTTCAACTGTTTATTAAAAACAAGAAGACACAAATGTAAAAGATCTGTAAAAATAAATTGTTATTTATTGAGCAAATAAATATTAATTAATAATATTTATTATTAATAAATTTATTTTTTTTAATTTACTTTTTAAATTTTACTGCATTCTCTCTTAAAGGCACATTTTACAAAATGTGCTCTTAACAAAAATAATTTTTGTTAACCAAAATAAAAAATTGAGTTTAGTTGAGCCTGGTTCTGAAACGTCGTGAACTGTTGCAATGACAAAAGCAGTCAGAAGGTGGCGACAAAGAAACATAAAGAAGAAGATGCAGCATCATCAAACGAAAACTGGAGATGTTAAAGAAGCTGTATGGTAGGAAAATACACTACAATATACATCAGCCCCTCTCCTGGTTATCATCTCATTATTCTTTCACTGACTGGTTGAAATTGATGACTTAAAAGTGAAACAGTGTAAAATATATTTAACATATTTTCCATTTTTATGTTCATATTAAACAAACAAAATTTTGTGCTTTATTAAAGATCAAATCAGAAGTGAATGACCGAATAACTTCCACGCATACATATCCTTGACCAAAATTACAAAACACATTTTTCCTTAAATGTCAGCAGAGATGTTTCAAAGCTTGATGTCACATGACTGCTGAGCAATTAGGCATCGCCCACATGTAATGTTCCAGGTGAGGCGTAGGAGGGAAGGTGGGCCAGTAGTGAAGTTTACCGTTGCGTAAGGCTACTTTTGATTTTTCCTTCTGAAAAATTAAGCTGCCTCCATCACCACAGCTGCCTTCTCTTTAGCCTGGCTGAACGCCGACTCTGTTATCAGCTGATGCCTGTCAGAAGCACTTCCTTCAGCGACAGCGGTAGACCTCTGCAATCTGAGCTGTGCCTCATCTTACACTCGACCCTCTGTGACCAGGAATGTGAAGCGAGGCAGAGCTGATTTGTGCGTTTATGTAAGCTAAGAGAGAGCGAGTCAAAGCGAAGCATCTCCGGCTGGCAGCACGTAGGGGGAAGCTACCTCCAAACTTTCTGAGACAGACGAGATCTTTGCCAGGTTTCGTGAGACTGCTCGTGTGTCATGTGTGAACCCATGTGGGTGGATGAGAGTTTGCATGTGTTTGTGTGCTTGTTTTGCAGGCCCCCCACCTGTGAGAAGCCTGGCACCGCCACACTGTAGGGGCGTTGTTGTCTGCCGTGCAGCGCAGCAGCGCTCTGTGCTGCCATACGGGAGTGGATGCCATAATCAGGGACGGGGAGAGCCATGTCTTCTCTCTCTAGAAGGTTGCCCGTGCTGCTGCTTTTGCCATGGTGGAGACTAGAAACACAAAGAAGTACACAGAAAAGGAGGAAACTGTAAATCATGTGATCCCCCATCGGGCAATTCCTCCTGGGCCAATCAGGCGCTAACATTTGATGTCTCTAGGTAGGGAAGGTATATGGGCGAGTCATCAGGGGACTGATTTTGATTTTGGAAGTACTTTCATGATTGGTTTACTTTTGCTGCAAGGTACAATATCATTTTGAGTGCTGGGGCAGTGCAATCACATTATATTTATGCAATGTAATACAATAACATGCATTACTGTTCCCAGTATGAGTACGTCATATCGCAGTGTTATTTTGAGGCAGTATAGCCTAGAGTCTGATATTTGTATATAGAGTTTGTTATGTTTGTTTGTGTGTGTGTGTGTGTTCCTGTCTAGCTATCTTTGTGAGGACTGAAAACTGCTTGTGAGGACACACAACCTGGTCCTCACAAAGGCATTTAAAGCCATTTTTGAGGCTCAAAATGTGGTTTTAGTGTCAGGGTTACAATTAGGTTATGGTTAGGTTTAGGGTAAGGGGCTAGGGAAAGCATTATGTCAATGAAGGTCCTCACTAGGATAGCTGAACGGGGTTGTGTGTGTGTGTGTGAGACCACCTCCCTCTCCCTGTACAACGCATCCACTTAACACACTGTTTGCTGCTACAACTACACATGTTTCTTTTCCAAATATTTATTTATAAGTGACTTATGTATATATGTATGTATATATTGTACTATTCTTAGTTAGCGTATTGTCTGTCTTGTCTTAATGTTGGTTTAAAATGGAGCACTGTAACAAAAAATAATTTCCCCCAGGGATCAATAAAGTATTCTGATTCTGATTCTGATTCCTCGCTCATTGCTTCATCGATGTGTGACTACGTTCAGCAGACAGAGGCTTTCACCAGCTCCTAAGTGCATTTTTTGTGTGTGGGATGCTTCGTCTTCGGTGGGGTTTGTGTCATCCTTCACACAGCATCAAATCCCAACCAAAGCATTTCAGAAGATTTTAGCCAGGGTCTTTTATTTTGAAAATTGATCAGCTTCCTAATGCTTTTCCTGCCCATTTCATCTGTTCTGTGCAGTTTGACATGACTTTGGCCAAAATACACTCGCTGTGCATTTTGTGCCGCACAGAACAGAGAGCCGTTTCTGGGATGCTTCTGAAAAATGCTTCAGTGCATTTGATGGACTCACAAGCACTGTACATGGGCACAATTACATCATTGCTGTAATACAACGCAGCTCCACCCCGCTGCCCGAGTAAGGAGTAACATCTCACATTAATATTTATGTAAAAACCCCAACTCTACTGGTAAAGGAGATCTGGCAGGTTAACCAACAAAATCATTAAGTTTCTGTGAATAATATTAATATTTAACTTAATAACATTCAGTTTGATTATGCATTCAAAACAATGAAGTCTGCAAAGTGCAAACACCCACTTGTGTACTCGAAGTTGCCGCATAGAGTCTCCTTCGCCATCAGTGATCACCCGTGTGTAGGAGAAGGGAAACCAGCCACGCCTGCAGAAGGAGGACATCAAATATAAACAACACAAAAATCAAATGCACAGCATTGGCTGACCTGTTCACCTACAGTCTGCAGTTGCCGCTGCAACCCACTTTGCAACCCTTCTTCGCCCCAGCTCCTCCACTTCATGCTGATCATGCCATTTCTGACTTATTTAACATTATGTCTGTTTGTCGCAGATTCCTCTATTCTGTCACTCCTCTCTCCAAGTGGGCCGAATATAAATCACTGCAGGTGGAAATAACGACTCAGCTTTGACTACAGTGATCCTGACAGAACTGCATTTGTCGCTTTTTTTGCTGCATTTCATTTTGCACTCACATCCTTGTCTTCTCATTCTCTCCATAGTGCCAGCCATCACGGGCCTCGGGTACCAGCAGGGTAATCACGTCGCCCTCAGCGAAGCTAAGCAGCGTGCTGTTGTCACCGGCAGCATGGGAGAAGACGGCCTGGACACGAGTTCTTCCGTTTTTCTCCAGACCTGCTGCCATGGAGCTGGACCGGGGCAGCGTGCGGGTCTCTGCTGTGGAGATGAGGAGGAGGAGGAAGACAGTTGTTATCACACTGCCATAAACTTCAGTTTTTGCTACAAAGCCCTTAACGATGCTTGAAACATACAGAATGTCTACAGGGATTTTATTCAATGTAGATTTTTATATTATTCACATTTTTGTGAAATATTCTCCTCTGAATCTATTTTTACTCAGAAATGTACCGTCTTACTTTGGTTTTATTATCACATCTCCTTCTATTCCCACTTGCTTTGGCCTCTTTCTTATTAAAACGGCACCGAGCATGTGTGTGGCAGCCGGGTCATCTCATTAGCTTTTTCTATATCTGAGATGCAGTAATTCTTTTCTGGAAATATACCTTCCAGTACATTCACTGTGATTAAAAGCACGCTGAATGCCAAGTTAAATTTGCTTTTCGAGATATTTTCATTTTGCCACTAAACAGCAGAACAACTCCACAACAAGCTGGCAAACTCACCGCCCTGAAATAACACTGGCTCACAATATTCTGCCAAGCAAACGATGGTCTTTTCATATATCCAGCTGCCGGAAACAAAGAGAACCATTTATTTGGAGTGCCGTTTTCTATCCTCTTGAATATTACTGCTGTAATTATGTTGTTTTTTCCTCAGACTTTGCTCTTTTGTGTTTTCACCTATATCTGACTGCTTTATATGTGACTGCTAGAGGTTCCTTTCTTCTTGAAGCTAAGTCTCGTCGTCACTTTGCTGTTTATTGCTGTGCAGAGAGACACTGTGGAGCTTTCTTTGTGAAACGAGCTGCTAGAGCTGGGGCTGAAATAAGGCTGATAAGACTGAACCAAACTGCAAATGTTCTCTAAAACTAAAACAGCCATGCAGGACTGGAGAAAGTGTCTGCCACTTTTATATTACATATAGTCTTTTGAGCCTTTCTTAATTTTAAAATACATTTAGGATTATGAAGTCAGTTAACGAGTCCTTTCATCAGCATCCTTGCTCAGCAGAAAAGTGCAGCGTTAGTGTGATTATTGCCAGGACATGTTAGATTAAACACCACGACAGAATAAATGTAGCCCACAGTGTGTGTCCTTACTCAGTGTGGTCTTGCTCTTGGCTGGGGCGGCCTTGCGCACAGGTAGGGTGTTGGAGTACACCTCGCCTCCGTGCCGCTGAGTCTGCGGTGAGGCTTTGCCCTGGGCGATTTTGCCCTCCATCCACTGCTGGTAGTCTTCTCCTCCATGAACGCCGGCCGTACCATTCATCACAGGCATCCCTCCTTCCACACCTCCCATCAGCCTCTGCATGCAGGCAATTAAAATGCAAACATTTTTTCTCGTTACGTCACAAAAGGCTGTTACGCAACATCTTGAAGCTCATTAGTGATAATGAAGGAGGAGAGCAGATCTGGGTCATGAAATTGTGATTAGTGAAAACACTATTTGAGTTCACGCTGATTTGAAGATAAGCTTAAGGAGTAGCTGGGAGACGGCAAAAAGAATTTCAAAGTATATTTAGTCTGCCGTTATAAAACTCTACTAATCTGCACCACCGTAATTAAAATGATGAAGTCTTTGAATCTTGAAAGTCTGTGTTCATTTTTGAGCCTGCAGGAGGAGAAGGAAGGGGGCAGGGTGCCAAAGAGCCTGAGGATATAAGGACCAAATGATTTCATTTCCCTTGACCCAGATTTTGTGAGGATGTGTTGAGGGATTCCCCGATGCAGTTGACCGCTCATTCTCAAACCTCAAGAGTTAGAAAGTGTCCATAACCGAAAACTCTTTAAAAAAACAGACTGACATAGCTTCTGGGTGCATTTTTTCTAACTGCCTGCAGGGGGCGACTCTTTGAACTGTGCTGTTTTCCAATGGCTAGAAACAGTGAAAACAGCAGAAGACTTCATGGAAATTCACTAACCAGTGAGTGACATCATGGTGGCTACACCCATCTTTTACATACAGTCTATTGTACATTGTAGTCTAAGCTTGAATCTCTATCACAACAAGCCCACAGCGAGCTCACTGGAAAACAATAGTAACAGATGTTTATTTCTAACACGTAAGTGAGCGTGAAGAAACAAAGCACACGGGTGTACCAGTGTTTGGCAAACTAAATCAGGCCAGAAGAAGAACTCACCTGCTGTCCCATGCCACCGCTGGCCCTGAGGGCTGCCAGCTCTGGAGGCACTGGCAGGGGTTTAGCACCAGGAATAGGCTCAGAGATGGGAAGGCCGGGGTGATGAGCACCAGGAGGCATGGTGCCCGTTGCACCACTCATCTGCTGGGCCAGAAACATGGCACGGTCTGGCAGTTTGTTGGGCTCAGCACAAGCCTGCTGCCACAGTGGGATCTTCTGAGTTAAAAGGTCCTTCCCCTGAAAGAAAGAGATGAGAAATACTTGGTAGTCAAAATAATGTGTAAGTTTTAAATCATTTGAATCTGTAGCTGAAAGGAAATGAGAGGGTACTAGCAGAGCGCAGCGGATCCGCCAAAGTCACTACTCACTTTACAACTTCTTCTGCACATGCGCCGTATGCCACTTAAGCAGTTATGTAATATTCCAGAAAGAAATAAAATATTTCTTATTTGTAAGAAAAAACCTGGCTGACAAAAAGAGGAAAAAAGCTCACAGATGTGCTGTGAATATCACTTTTTTGTGGCGCAATAAACAGGTAAAGCTGGAGCTCCACAGCGTGAGTTGTTAATTTTTCTGTTTTTTTGGGAGCAGCGCTTGCCCCTGTTTGCTGTGGGTGTACATATATTTCTCTAGTTTGTTTACCTTCTGAAATAAAGCCGCTTCTGTAAGTGTTTTTCCCCTGTAGGCATCAATATAACAACACTTTTTTTTTTTTACATAATCCGAGCAGACAAAAAGGTGATGCAAGGAAAAGAGAAAAGGAAAAAGGAGAAAGAACACGCAGTCAGCGCAGGCCACCAGGGATGAGAAGCCATACATTATACAGTAGTTCAGTTACATAAAGATACTTCTCATTTGCATTTGTCATCAGTGAATAAATGATGAAGTTCTGAGTTTTCATGAATAAAGAAAGACGGCGAGCAGAATCTGCTCTGCAAACAGCTTTTAACCATGCCAGGCTGGTGTGGAGGATAAACACAGCGTGGTTCCAAGGTTGTCTGGCCCCGCTGAGTGCATGTGGGCCACAGTGTCAGGTGTCTGCGTGTGGGTTGGATGATCAAACAAACTCACACATACACAAAGGGAAAAAAAGTGCAGCAAGAACTAATTCGCACTGATAAAGTGACATCATGTAAGTGGCGATTCAAACTTGTTCTCTACGGAGAGTTTGGTCGTCGGGCTCAGAGACGGCCGTGTCAGCTCACGCCACCTGTGGCTATAAGGCTGTGAGTACACAACATACGTAGATTATCCACAGTTAATGCAGCTTTTGTTGTTTCAGGGGACTTAAATTATCACTGAACAAAGCAGGTCAGAAGGAAACACTGTTAGCGCTTCCTTTTTGTACCTGCATCAGTGAAATTGCGATGAATGAAGTATGACCCACGCAAAACTTTGTGTTTTCATAAAAATCTCTCTCGGTTCATGTGGATGTTGGCGAAAAAGATGAGTCATAACAATCTAAGCTTTTCACATAGTTAAGGTGGAGCGTAGGTGGGCAGAGCTTTAGCAGTGATGACAGAAATCGACAAGGAGAAGGCGGCTCTGTTTTCTTTCATTCTTTCTTTTCGGCTGATTGACAACAGCACGAGAGAGCCGCTCGCCTACAGTAACTAATAAAACACGAGATTTCCCAAAGTAACAGAGAGCTTCAGCAGTCATCTCACAGTACATGTACTCCTGAGGGTAACTAAGAAGTACCGGACCTGCAGGGTTTCAACAGTTCAGTGGAGCGAAGCAGCAATAACTTAGGATTACATTTCATTTCTAATACTCTTACAACCAAAGAAACGGCGACATAGTGATACCTCAGCTGCTTCCCTGAGTCTGAAGCAACTACCTGGTCCTGAGCTTCACAACCACCCAAAAATACATTTACATAAATCTAAATGTATTTATGCATAAATAGGGTGACTACAAATGATTATTATCATCACCACATGAGTTTAATTCAACTATCAGAGTCTTTCAGAGCCTCACATCCACTGATAAAGCTGAAAGTGGGAACCGTTTTTTCAAAAATAAGTATTAATGTGAACTCCTCTAAGACTTTTTTTTAAGGCTGTTTTATCATCACAGCAGCAGTTTGTGTTCTGTGCTTCCTCCCTCTGTCTATCAATCACCCATTCAGACACTTCACACCCACACACAGTGAGTCTGAACCAAGTGTTCTTGCAGAAGTAGGTCACTCTCCCTCCCACCGACCTCCACACTCCCTCCCATCCTCCTCTTCTACATCCTCTCGCACTTCCCTTTGCTACTTTTTTTTTAAAAATAATTGACATTTTACATTTGTACAAAACAGACAAAACAGGAAACGGACATTTTCACATTTTACCATTTGTGAGGGAGTGCGATACAGGAGTCGTGATTGGCTGATGCATCTGAGGCGTCTTTAGGGTTTTTCATGGAATTAATACATGAAAAATGCAGAAGGTCGCCGCGATTGGTAAAGGAAGACGATAAAGCGGCACACGTCTCCTATCACAGCTTGTACGGTATGTGCGGTAAAAGTGGCAGAAAACATGATCATTCATTTGGAGTGAAATATTGGATTTTAGTGCTTTAGTGCTTGTACTGCGTAAGGGTGCAGAATGGCTCCTCCCCACCAAACAAGTGGGAACATACATTCATACTTTCGCCGAGGCTCTGAAGCCAAACAATAAGGTTGAAGCTGGGTGGTCCTAAAGTTGTAACAACTTAAAGGTAAACATCTTTTTTAAGATGATGAAGATAAACTGAGGGGCTGCATAAAGACTCACTATGAGATAAGTAATGATTATTTTGATCTGCGCATCATCATTTGTTTCCAGGAATACAAATATAAAGCTGATAAAGCCCCAAAGCTCAATTTTATTTATTTTTATTTATATACAGTAGCGTCAAATCACATCAACAGTTGCCTCAAGGCGATTTACATTGGAAGTTAAAGACCCTACAATAACACAAACCTGTTACACAACTGGAAGTCCTAAAACAGCATTTTAGCCTGCTACCCTTATTGGGAAATGCCTCAGTTACCAGTGAGCTATGAATGTGGTCCTACCACGACCAACAGTCAGTGAGAAGACCAATCGTGTTGTTGTGATGTCACAGCCTTGTGACTGTAAAAACAAAGATAACTAAAAAAAACTAAAACTTTTAAAACCTATAAAAGTTCTTGTTTTTTCAGGTTTTGGAACAACATAAATGATGGTGTTGTAGGAGCAACAGCAATTCAAACATATCAAATATCTTCTCACCTTGTTGTGGTAGACGCTGCTGTTTTTGGCCACAGCACACTGACGGTCCACCAGGAAGCAGTACCTCCTCCTCTCCTCAGACAGAGCGTTCTTGTAGCCCTCAGCGATGTAGTTATCCAGCTCACTCTGCTTATTACTGATGGCCTCCACATACTAGGAGCAAAAAGAAAGCACATGAAACAAAAACATGGAGGACAATCTTAATCCAGACACTCGACTGATAATACAAGTTTCAAGGAAAAAGTAGGACGCCATAAACTGGACTGGAAATGCGCAACATCTACTCCGGTGATTAATAAACTGATACACTCTGGAGTAAGTTTTTAAGAACAAAATCTCTTTCCAGAAATGTATTTTTACAGAAGTTCAGGGATGCGGTGTCTTGATTATTCTCAAAACCCCCGAAAACTGTTATGTGAAGTGGGTGAATCAACCGTTTAACAATCAAAGCTTTAAATGACTTCAGATAATGGACAGAATTTCGATGGCTCAGGCATCATACATCACAATCATGACATATAAAAAGCAGACAAATTGGGCTTTCGTGTGCCGCCTTGAAAATTAAATCGAAAATGTCACAGCACATCAGACCTGAAAACCGTGAATTAGACCGAAAGAAGTCAGGCCCCTCAGGCTGTCTGATCACATATCTATTATGTGATCACAGTGACTGGTGCTCTAAATTTCCCGCAGATTAGTTGAAATCCGCTCTTTCCGAGCTATATCGAGCTTTTAAACTCATTCAACCTCCTTCACCGGCTCAGCCCACTGAGTCCATTTAGTGCTTGTACTGCGTAAGGGTGCAGAATGGCTCCTCTCCACCAAACAAGTGGAGCCACTCGTCCACATCCACAATCACCTTGAGGCACACAAAGGCAAAATTAGAATGAACGCAGGCTCGCTTACGTAAGTGAAAACATTCAGATTCCCACGGTGTCACATAATGTGAAACAACATTCTCTGAGTGCCAGACAGCAAGGAGCTCCTGGATGAGGCGTTAATGACCGCGGCTCGGTGGTTTGCAGGGAAACTTAGAAGCCTACGCACTGTCATGTGCAACTGGCTGTTTGAACTAGCACCAGTGCTGTGGATGGCAGACTGGAGCTTTTAAAAAAGAGAAAGCAGCACTTAAATGACCTAACACTGCGCTATAACCGCCATCACACATTAAGCAGCACCAGATGTACTAATTAGTCCTTTAATGAAGCATAATCATGTGTTCTTTAGAAAATATTCCTGCCTCACCATCAACATCACACTTACCGACAACATGGGAAACTGAATGTATAAAAAGAAATCATCTGAAGTATTTTATGCAAAGCTGAAATTTACTGGACTGCTTGAATTCTTTGTTATCAGGTTGCCCTAAAAGCTCCCCGAAAAGCCTTCAGTTGATCTGGAACGCTGTAGCGAGAGTACCAGAGCGCATATTTCTCCCATATTAGCTTCTCTTTATTGGCTTTCTATTAAATTCAGAATTTAATTTAAAAGCCTTCTGCTCACATGCAAGGCCTTGAATGATCAGGCCTCAGTATATCTTAAAGACCTCATAGTGCTATATTATCCCAACAGAGCACTTTGCTCTCAGACTGCGGGCTGGTTTGGGGTTCTTCGAGTTTCTAACAGTAGAATGGGAGGCGGAGCCTTCAGCTCAGACCCGTCTCCTATGGAACCGGTTTGGGATCACCAAACAAACACCCTCTTCTCCAGATTAGCCTCAAAACGTTCCTTCTGGATAAATCTTATAATTAGGGCTGGATCAGGTCACCCTAAACCATCCCTTAGTTGTGCTGCTATAAGCTCGCGTAACCTTCTCACAGCAACCTGAGCCCCGTTTAGGTACTATTAATTCACGTCATTACCTGACCCTCGACCACTTTTGTCCATAGTTTGTGTTTTCACAGCTCTTTAAACTGGTTCACTCCAGTTAAACTGATTTTTCACACTGTAGATGTATTTTATTGACATGATATTCATTTTTGTTTTATCTGTGCCAAAAATCCCTTTTGGGGTTGTGTCAGGAAGAGCGTCTGGTGTAAAACACACGTGGAGCTACTCTCTGTGGCAACAACCTCGTGACAAAGGGGAAAGCTGACTCTTTTCTGACTCTTTAAAAAAGCTTCTTCAGACTTTTTCTGTATATAATTGAATAGAAATAAGAATTTGCTGAATTATTAAAGAAAATCTAAATTTTAAAAGCAAAACTGAACAATATCGTCACAGTAAGCTTGTGTTCATGTAAAGCTTTAGCTCATCCTTTAAATAGTAAGTGCTCCAATTAAAATGTAGCCATAGCGCTCTGCCGGCTGAGAGATTTAATTAAAAATCATCTGTGGAAATAAATGTGCAGGCACCAAAATAACACTATCACGCAATCTAATGCACAGAGATCAACATTAAAACAGGAAGGCTTTCACTTCCGCTCGTCCTTATTGAGAAAATTGGCCGTGAAGACATTATTGTGAAATAAGCAGTGGTGGATTTTCTATCTGCTGATGTTACATTTAGGAGTTAAGTGAGGGCTTTTGCAGAGAGTGGTTCATCATGCATTTAATTGTTTAGGCTTGTAGTTCTCTATGGAACCGACTAACTCTAGAAATATTTATTTTTCCTGCTTTTTAACCAATAACACTCTCATAGCCACGCAGTGTTTATTACAGTGTAATACTGTGCCGAACCTTAACTACATATGCTCGTTAGCTTTACGATAATCCTTCACTGGGGGTCATTTACACACTTTATCACTGCGAGTGCTTTAAAACTCTGTCGAGATTATGACTGTAATAAAAGTAGGAATAAATAAGAGTATGGTATGATTATTTGATCTATGTCATCTCCACTCCTTACTGAACCTGTGTCTTCATACAGACGGTCACTGGTCTTCAGGAAGAAGACACATTCACAGCGATCGGCTGTCTGTGCTGGTGTTGGTGTTTAATGAGTCTAATAGACCCCGACTGACAGGTAAGATGTGGCAACAGCTGCAGACAACCAGCAATTAATCTCATCCTTTCACTCTTCACTACAAAGTGATTACAGTTGGAAGCACAGAGCCCCATTTGTGCCGGAGACTAGGTTGAGTGCAGTCATGAAAAATATGCATATAATCTATTCCTGTGACATATTTGACAGTTGATATTACAAAGATTTTGGACATCTGAACTATTTAAATTCTGGTTGGGGGTTTAAATCCTACCACACGAAGAGACACAAGCTTGGTTTTCTTTTGCATTTTAATCAAAGTTCAGCCAACTTTTTGTTTGTTCTTCTACGTCTAAGTTTTATGTTAATTATCACCAATTTCCGGTTAAAATGAAAACAAAATATTAGTAAAAGAGCATCCGTTACTTTGGAGACAAAGTTAGAGCGGGATGGCTGAGATGGTCTGGGCATTTGCAGAGGAGGGAGGGTGGATATACTGGACAAAACGTGTTAAAGATGGAAAAGAGGAAGACCTCAGAGAAGACTCATGGATGTAATGAAGGGAGACATGTCGAAGGTTTGTGTGACAGGATGAAATGAAGAGAGATGATCCACTGTGGCTTAAAAGTTGACAAAAATAAAGCAACTCTTTTGTTAAAAACTGGATACTATGTAAGATACTGTCTACAAGTATCTATAGTTTAACCAAAGACAGAAAGCACGACTGCTCATGCTAAAATCATCCTTTTTTCCAAAAGTGAAACATATACCCATTAATTATGAGCCTTTTTCACCACCCAGTTTCTGTGATGGGGTGAATAATGTGCTCTGTGCACTCCTCATAGGCAGGTGGTAAAACTCAGTGCTACACAATAAAGACATTCATGTGGCTGAATCTGGTTATTTAGCAGAAAAGAGCAATCTCTTAGAACTAAACAAAGTTGTTTATGTAGGCGAACAAAGGCTGAACATGCACCAATCACCCACACTGGAATAATAAATGGTGACAAAAAAGTGGCAGCAGCAGAGGAAGATGAAGGCCATTCATGAGTCATAAAAACAGCGGAGGTGGAGCCGCTTGCAGGTATCGCATTCCGACCGTCGCGAGGTTAGAGCGGCCAGAAGGGTGCAGTCAATCACCGGGAAGTGACTGACGGAGCGGTTTCCCCCTCCGTCAGCTCTCTGCCTGATTTCCTGAGAATTTTACTCTTTAAGAGTTACAGGAAATAAATCTGTGGTTTACCGAGGAGGTCACTTGTTTATTTACTGAATTCCTCGTGATTATGTCATCTTCCTAGAATGCCATGTGAACTCAAAAGGAAACCGAAAAACGTAAAAGGAGACATTTAATTAGCAGAAGCTGCCAAACCGGTCTCCTCTATCTGAAGCCTAAAGCCTTCCTCCTCTAAGATCCTTTACTCACAGCATGTAGACATAAAGGGCTGCAAGCTTAGACTAAACTGTAGTCCCTGAATGTGTTTTGGGGCATAACTCATTTTCTTTATTCTATTTAGGATTTATTGCAGACGTACTGCGTTATAACGGGTCTGGTATTAAAACCTAGTTTAAAAAGCCATACTGTACTTACACATGGTTGATCTATCTAAAGAGACTGTATAAGGAAGGGGGGAAATATTTGGCAACAGCAGCTTTTTGGTTTATCATCATCATAATAATATTGCATAATGTAATAATAATTACATTGAAGTAGGCCGAAACAATGACAAGTAGAAAAATCAAGTGTAGCTACAGTAGAAGAATCAAAATAAAACTTTAACCTCCTCGAAAAGACCAAAAACTTGAATAAACGAGGAGTATGTCAATGTAATCTCTCAGATCATGAATTCTGTTATATCTTAAATAATCCTTATGCTGCCATTGCATATGCATGAGAAAGGAACGTATATGGAATATAGGATGCAAATGTTTATAAAAGCATCCCTGGATAATTGATATACTGCACATCCAAGTGCATTTCTTCACCACAGCTCCTTCTCCATTATTCATGCAGCTTCACTACATTAAGCCTGATCACCCTCAGATATGGAGCCCTAATTAGATTCCTACTTGCTTTTCATGTTACTGCCAATCAGCCACTCTTCACCCAAAAGCTCCGCCTTTACACAAATATAAATCTGGCCAAACACTGCTTCTGGTTTCTGCTGACAGTGAGCCCGATCAGCATTTAAGGCCTGTGCACAGAGGGAGATGGTGTCCAAGTAATCACCGAG